GGGGAGATGTAAAGAACTTGAACACCAAAGCACAGGCAGTGCAACAACAGCAACAAGTAGAACAAATCCCCAGAGAACCTGTGTGCTACCATTTTTGCGGTTAACTGCAAATTCCTTAGCCATCATTTGTTTGTGTCTGATCATTAACATCTGCCCTTTGACAACAGCAACTGTCATCCCATTGCTGCCACCAATCATTTGAGCAACAAATGAAGCAAAATCTATGGGTGCAGCTGACTAACATCACATAAAATAATGTATTTTGCTTATCTGAAATGTATGATATGAAACATTTGCTTTTTATATGTTTAATCTGTTTGTACCCCTTCTGCAGTAATTCAAAACTTCACTGACTTGAATAGAATTTTATTTAATGGGAACTTTAACTATAAAGCTATATCTAGATGGAGAGTTACTGCTTATTATCCACCCTCTGACGACCTCAACATTAATGCTATTTCTTCAGCTATGTCAGCAATTAACCATTTTAGCTATGAAGCATTTAGCCAAAGAAAGCGCTCGCTCACGCACATATATTATGCAAAATCGTTTAGCTTTAGATTATTTGTTAGCAAAAGAAGGAGGTGTATGTGGGAAATTTAATCTTACAAATTGTTGTATTGAAATTGATGACAGTGGTAATGTTGTTAGGGAAATCGCTGATAGAATGGTAAAAATTGCTCACATTCCTGTTCAAACTTGGAACGGCTTTGATTTTTATGAAATGTTTGGTTCTTGGTTCCCCAAACTTCCTGGACTCCAAGCTATTGTAGCTTTAATTGAACTGATTGCTTAAGGCTGTATAATAATACCTTGTGTTTTACCCATCTTTGAAAAATTCATGTCAAAAAGTTTATCTTTGTTAGCGGAAAAACGTGCAACAGCTCAAGTAATGGCTCTATGACAACGCTCTTATCCAGTACGATATCATCCTTTAACTATGGAAGCTGACCATGATGACATCAATACAGGAGAGAGACTGTCCCATCCTGAGTTATCAACTGCAGGAAAATTTACTACATTTAAAGCCAACCCATTTATCGAACTGACCAATGAATCAGAAGATAAAGATGACTTGGCAAACTTTAATCTGCATAGTACCAGCATGTATGAAATGCAACCAAAAGACTTTTGGGTTTCAGCTTAAAAAACAAAAAAGGAGGAGATGTTGGAATATAGCATAAGTTACTCCATTTTGTAACCTTCAGCAAGNCCGGCTCACCCCCCTGCTTGTCGCTTCTGCCTGCAATTTGCTTTGATGATTGCTAATAAAGGAGGTCCCCAGAGACTATTCTGGGCTGATCTCATCCCGAGGAAACCTGGTCTGGTGTCTTCATATGACAACTCATGAATCAGCCCCCGGACGAGGTCTGAAACCAAGCCGGGAGACTCAGGTCCCGGTTTTCTACAGTATGTATTTTGAAGTCCTATGCTAATTTTATTTCAGTAATCTGATATTTTACCTCTACTCCTATTTTGGAATAACTGTTATATTATTTGTTTAGTATTGGCCTACAACTAAAAAAAAGTGTTTATAATTTCTTTAAAGAGTCCTACATTTATATGTTTGGAACATATAAAATATTTCTCCTACTCTCTATCTTTTTCTCTCATTATCTCTCTCCGTGTATTGCTGTATCTCAGGTTCATTCCTTTCTGAGAAATGTCAGATTCAACAACAGTGTGGGTGAAAAGATCTCCTTTGATAAAAATGGAGAATTCATTGGTGGATATGATATTATCAATTGGATCACATTCCCAAACCAGTCTTTTATAAGGGTCAAAGTAGGAATGGTGGATCCCACAGCTCCAGCAGACAAGTTCTTCAATATTTCTGTAGATTCCATCATGTGGCCAGTCAGCTTTAATCAGGTTAGCTGTTTGAATCTACATTGGTCTGTCTTCATTTATATACTATAAAAATGTTATTATTAATGAAAGTCTAAGAGCATCATCTCTGAAGAAAGTTTGTACTAAGTAGAAATGTACTGGAGAAAGAAAACATTATCTGTAAGAATGTTTACTTTTCTAATAGTTGGTAAACAGCATTGTACCCTTTATTTTGGGCCCCTGTTAATTATGGATAAAGGTTTTCATGGTTTTGAAGTAAACACAGAAATCCAGTGTACTACGTTTCATCAGTCTGTTGACTTCAAATTCAGAAGCTAAGAAAACCATCTTTAACTAACCGGCATAGAAATTGTCTTTGGAGAGTGGGGATTATGTTTATCAAAGGCCACAGATGCCAATAAAGATAGATAATTAATGAATTATTATTTCAGAATAATTACATCTCAAAAAGATACCATCACACTACTTCTGCTTATTAATCAAATTTCATACTGTTTGTTCAACAGTAACAATATCGCTCCAAGCACTTCCTTTTCCCTCTGTATGCTAAAATATTCTTCTTCATTAATTAATAGGCATTACCTTTATCTCTGTGTAATGATCCTTGTGATAGAGGATACAGCAAGGTAAAGAAAGAGGGAGAGTCATTTTGCTGCTATGATTGCCATCTGTGTCCATAAGGGAAAATTTCAAAGGAGAAGGGTAGGAAATTTCCAAATATAATGGGACTAAGCCATTAGAATATAACACTATCTGTAATCAACTATATCAATTCCACTGTGTTCTTTTTCAGACATGCTATCCATGTGCAGAAGATCATTATCCAAATCCTGACAAAAATATGTGCATTCCAAAGCGGATCACCTTTTTGTCCTATGAAGAACCCTTGGGGATCAATCTAACTGTTCTTCCTCTTTGCTTTGCTTTAATGACAATTTTGGTAATAAAAATTTTCATGAAACATAAAGACACTCCTATTGTCAAAGCCAACAATAGGAATCTCACTTACACTCTCTTAGTTTCCCTCCTCCTCTCTTTCCTTTGCGTCTTTCTATTTATTGGGAGACCCAACACGATTGTGTGTCTCCTTCGACAACCAGCTTTTGGCCTCATCTTTTCTGTGGCAGTTTCTTGTATACTGGCCAAAACTTTTGTTGTGGTTCTAGCATTCATGGTCACTAAACCTGGTTCCAAATTAAGGAAATGGGTCAGGGGAAGAATGGTCAGTTTCATTCTTTTATCTTGCATTCTTGTTCAAATATGTTTTTGTGCTGCATGGCTGATAACATCCCCACCATACCTAGATTTTGATATGCAGTCAATGTCTGAAGAAGTCATCATGGAGTGCAATGAGGAATCGATTATGTTCTATTGTGTTTTGGGCTTTATGGGTTTTCTTGCTTTGGTTAGCTTCTCTGCTGCTTTTCTAGCTAGGAAGTTGCCTGACAGTTTCAACGAAGCCAAATTCATCACCTTCAGCATGTTGGTGTTCTGCAGTGTTTGGCTGTGCTTTATTCCAACCTATCTAAGCACAAGGGGAAAATATATGTTGGCTGTGGAGATCTTCTCCATGATCTCCTCCAGTGCTGGCTTATTAGTTTGTATCTTTCTTCCCAAGTGTTTTATCATTGTGATGAGACCTGAACTTAACAATAAACATCATCTCATGAAGAGAAAGCTTTAAGAAAGATTTCTTTATTTCTCTGTGTTCAGATCTCACCCCCCTTTGCATATTTAAGCCACAGAGCAATCTGCCATTAGATCAGCCTTCTATGTTGTAATTTCTACCCTTCCCCCAAGATTTGGGTAGGTCATATATTTTTTCCTTCTGGAAGGAAATGTTCCTTCCTTTGGCAATGTTTCAAATTTTGTCCTGTCCATTTGTGAGTGGGACAAAATGGAAGCCACCGTACTGTGGAGACCTTGTTAAGGCAGGAGAACAAAGTAGTTTATCTCCAGACTGTGCAGCAGTCTGAATATGGCCGCCATTTTGTACCCACCTATAAATAGGCAGGGGACAAAATGATGGCCTCTCCAGTCCAGCACATTTTTTCCCAGAGGTCTCAGTTTTTGAGTTTGCAAAGAAACAATCAAATGCCTGTTCCCAAAAATCTTTCCGAAAATGATTTTGTTGGTTGTTGTTTGGATTTAAATTTTGAAGAAATTCCTGGAAGTCCTGGACGTCCTTTGTGTGAACTGCAAAGGATAAAGCACCATGTAGGAAATGGATATCCAAAGATTTATTGTCTGGCCAGTAGGTGTCGAACCCCGTGAGACCGACCTGTCCAGACTGACGAGCGGCGAGCCACAGCTCCGTTGCCGCTTCGTGGCCCTCCCTCATGCTTCACAGCTTTATCGCCCGTCGCCACTGCTTTTACTGCTCGCCTCGTGGGAACGACACCGGCAGGGAAGAGGCCGTCAGCTGTTGTCCTCCATTGCCAAAAGCCAGCTGTGATGTTGCACGACCAACAAGTGCAACGCCTAGACAGTCTGTAGTCATCTGCTCCATGTGGAGGACGGAGCAAGTATGCAAGGCTACAGAGAGGAGCCAAACAAGACTGCGGGACGCTGACGCTCCAGCTGGCTGATTTTTCCTGTCGGTGCACTGGATGGTGGTTTGAGGGGTGGGGTAGGTTTAATGAGGGTGGGGCAGGTGCACATAGCCTTTATAAAGCATTGGGAGCAATCCACTTCCAGTGCTGTCTTTTCCTTTGTACAGAGTGAAATAAAACTACAGCAAGTCTTTCATTCCTGCTTGTTGGCTATCAATTGGAGCACCAAAAAGGACGACATTGACAGTAAGACAGCATCCCTCACCTTCTTTCATTCACCTCCTTTGGTTCCTCATGGGTGCAAGGGATGGCGGAGGTAACCCAGGTGGTCGTGCCAGTGTAGGAGGCCACTGAGCCAGTGGTTCAAATGGAGCAGCCGGCTGAAACAGAGGCAGGGGAGGAGCAGCCAGCAGTATGGCCCAAGGAAAAGACCCAGCAGCCCATGGAGCCAGTGGGTGAGTCTCAGCAGATGGGCCCTATGGTGTCTTCAGGTGAATGGTGGCTAAGTCCTGCCCTGCACTGCCCAGAGGCAGGCTGGTTCCATGTGTCAGGACTAGGGGAGGCCCTGTCTGGATGGAGGGAGAGATGTGTGACCAGAGATGAGGAGGAGGAGTGGAGCTACTCTACAGCGCTGGGTCAATACACGATGGACATCCTTCAGGACCAGTTTGGAGAGGCAGGCTATTTGGAGCCACCACCCTGACCCAGGGGTGCTCCCACCTCTGGGGCCTCAGCTGAGTCATCCAGGTTCCAGCTAGCTAGCCCAAAACTTTGCATACCTCCTCACAATGGCTCTTTCCATGCAGGGGCTCCCGAGGTGGGTGTTCCAGCCGCGCAGTCCCAGCCTCACAATGAGGACCGGATGGCTGCAGCTTCAGCGGCAGCACCTACTGGGAAACCTGTATTGTCATCTGGGCCCTCAGGAGCCTGGGGGTTGGATCCTGGCGTTGGTTGTTCTGCTCCCATGGCTGGCGGTCAGCCTGGAGCGCAGGCTATGGGTCCATGGGCTTCGGGGTTCATGTGGGGTCTGCTGCCTATTGCAGTTTCTTTTGATGGCAACCCAGAGCATTTGGCAATGTTCATGAGCCACATTATTAGCCACCTGGACCGGTTTGCCTCTCTCTATCTGTCTAATTGGGCAATGGTGGTGGCTGTGATGGCAAGCCTTCAGGATGAGGCTGCGGCCTGGGCAGTGGACTTGTACAGTGACCACACCCGGGAGTTGGCCGATGCTAGACTCTTTCTGGATGCATTGCGGGCCAGATTTGAAGATCCCTCCAGATTTGAAGATCCCTCCAGAGTGCGGAAGTGGAGGTATTGGGACTGAAACAAAGGGGACGGCCCATATGGGAGTATGTGCAAGTGTTCCAGCAACCAGCAGGCCAGTTGCGTTCATGGCCAGAACGCCTCTTGGTCCACCACTTCCGGGTTGGCCTGGATAAATCAAATAAATCAAATAAAATAAAATAAAGACATACATCAGGCGTGTGTGGTAAGGGGCATACCAGACCGCCTCCACGAATGGTTTCAGGTGGTGACTGAACTGGATGCAGGGTTGCAGGAATTTCGGAGCACCTGAGGATCTGCCCACCCCTAGGCAGGCTGTGGAGCAGCCAAGGGATCCTGGTCATAAAACCCAGGTCCCTGGGCCTGCTCTGAGACCTGTGTTCAGATGTTTTAGGTGCAACCGACCTGGGCATCGGGCAGCAGAGTGTCTGGTCTTTGTGTTGCAGGGCAGCCCAGGACCATCTGGAACACCGGGGCCCACACCCAAGAAGTCTGCGGAAAGGTCACGGGCGGCTCACCAAGCAGAGGGGGTTACGCCCCAACGGTCCCCGATTGAAGATATACCGGCTACTGCCGAAGGACGGTTGGCAGAGTATGACAACATGGACCCCGCTGACGACCCCATGGTAAGCCAGCTGATCTGTCCCTTCACAATCCCCATTACCTTAACGAACCCACATACGGGCCGTCCCGGCGAGTACCAGGCCCTGATTGATTCTGGGTGTACCCAGTGTCTAGTTAGTAAGGATGTAGTGGAAAGGGTGGGAATCAAGGACCCCACTATCTGGTGGGAGGATGGCTGTCGCTACCTACGCCTTGGGGTTGGTCCGCAGCCACCGGGTGCGGATCCCAAGGGGGAGCAGGAGAGGATAAAAGTGACCCAGGAGCAGGTGGTATAAGAACCTGACTTCCCAGAGGTATATAAGGACATAGCAAAAGTATTCAGTGAGCAGGAGTGTGACAGTTTACCACCCCATCGATCTACTGACTGTGCTATCAATATACTGCCGGGGGACAAACTACCAAAACCCCGCATGTATCCCATGATGCCCCGTGAGTTGGATGAGTTGCGGTGATACATTGACAAAAACCTCACCCGAGGATTCATCCAGCTGGCCCATTCCTGGATAGCAGCCCCAGTTCTCTTCCAGGAAAAGAAAGACGGAGGCCTCCGGCTATGTGTAGATTTCCATGGTATCAATGCGGTTTGTGTTGAGCACATGTATCCCCTTCCTTTGATGAAGGACCTCCTAGCTCACTTGGCACAGGGCCAAGTGTTTACGAAATTGGACCTCAGGGAAGCATATTACCAGGTTCGAATCAAGGGGGGTGACGAATGGAAAACTGCCTTTAACTGTCCTTTGGGGAGTTACCAGTTCTGGGTGATGCCCTTCGGTTTGCAAGGGGCCCCCGCGGTGTTCATGCAACTTATTAATGAGGTGTTGCATGACCACTTGTACCACGGGGTACTTGTATACCTCGATGACATCCTCATATATACTAAGACCATGGAGGACCATGTCAGGTTGGTACGCGATATGTTACAGGCCCAGTTGTATGTTAAACTCTCGAAAAGTGAAATCCATCAATCACGCCTGACTATTTGGGGTATCGGATCTCGGCAGAGGGGGTTGAAATGGATCCCAATAAGGTGAAGAGCATACTGGAGTGGCAGGCACCGAAGACACGGCACCAATTACAAAGCTTTTTGGAGTTTGCTAATTTTTATAGACATTTTATCTTTTCCTTCGCCACAGTGGCCCTACCTCTGACGGACCTGTTGCGTACCCAAAAAGCCACAACAAAACCACGTCCTGGACAACTGTTGGCCTGGACAAAAGACTACCAGCACGCTTTTGAGGCGTTGAAACTCCTGTTCGCAAGGGAGCCCTTTTTACTACACCCAGATCCGGGAAAGCCGTTTGTGATGCAGGCCAATGCCAGCAATGTGGTTGTGGGGACAGTTCTACTCCAGCATAACAGCCAGGGGACGTTGCAGCTGTGCGCTTACACCTCCCGGACGCTAAAAGAAACTGAATGAGCATGGGCTATTTGGGAGAAAGAGGCATTCGTGGTAAAGTGGGCCTTATCGACCTGGCGGAATATGTTGGAAGGGGCAAGGGAGCCGTTTGAGGTCTGGACTGATCATAAAAACCTGGAGGTACTGCAAACCCCCCGACAGTTGTCTCCCAAACATATCAGGTGGGCGCAGTATTTCCGCTAGTTTCAGTTTCATCTCAAGTACATGCCAGGGGGAAAGAACTTCCTGGCAGACACTTTGTCCCGGTTACCCTAGTATGATAGTAGGAGAGAGGAGGTAATACAAGCAATCATGCCACCTTATAGTCAGGATGAGGCAGTTTCCCATTCAGTGACAACCGGTCTTGACAATGACCTAAAAGCAGCTCTCCTGGATGACCCTTGGTTACGGGATAATCCGGGAGTACTGACAGAGTGAGATGGCCTAGCTTGGCATGATAGCAAGTTGTATGTTCCCTTGGCAATGTGATCCCGAGTATTTCACCGTTGTCACGACGTGAAACAAGTGGGCCACTTTGGTTTTCTGAAAACCTTACATTTGGCCAGACATCAGATTTGGTGGCCTCGAATGTGGACGGATGTGGAAACATATGTCAAAGGCTGCCCGGTATGTGCCACCTCAAAGCCTCACACGGGGAAGCCCCTAGGGCTGCTACAACCGATAGCCGACCCAAATAGACCATGGCAAGATATAGCGATGGATTTCATCGTGGAACTGCCAGAAAGCCGAGGTTATACTGTAATTTGGACTACTGCAAGTTTTCATTCCTGCTTGTTAGCTATCAATCGGAGCACCAAAATGGCCGACATTGACAGTAGGCTTAAATCAGGTTAGCTGTTTGAATCTAAATTGATATGCCTTTATTTATATAGCAAAAAATGCCTTTATTGATGAAAGTCTCAGAGCATCATCTCCGACTAGGCTAAGTACAAATGTCCCTAGGAAGAAAAAATTATCTGTAGTGGTGGTCCGTATAAATATAAGTCAAGCAGCTGCTAGAGCCGCTTCTGTGTGGATTGAATAAACTAGCTGTTACTTTCACTCCTATGTCTTCATGCCTTGCCGTTCCCACTACACAATAGTTTGCCCTTACAACCACTATAGGGTCACTACAGTGCCTTCCTGCCTCTCTCCCCCCATCCCGCCCAGCTATAACCCTGTAATAATTGGGCCTGCTCCCCAATTGCCCATCATGCTCCCTCCTGCTTACTTTCAGAAACTCTCTGGACCTCATGTTGTGGAAGGAAGCCAGGTTTTTATTTGCCTCAAGGCCATATGGCAATGTTCCAAATTTTGTGAGTGGGACAAAATGGCAGCCACCAGACTGTGGAGACCTTGTTAAGGCAGGAGAACAAAGTAGTTTATTTCCAGACTGTGCAGCAGTCTGAATATGGCCACCATTTTGTACCCACCTATAAATAGGCAGAGGAGAAAATGGTGACCACCAAACAAACTGCTTCATTCATTTGCCTTAGAGAGGTCTGTACAGTGCTGTAGAAATTTCTGAATGCTGCAGAGTGCAGACTTTGTTCAGGCAGCAAAATGAAGGAGTTTATCTGTGGACCATGCAGCAATGACCAGAATGCGAGAAAATGTGCTACCATGCCATGCAGCCAACAAAAAAGGAAGTCCAGTACTCTGAAAGTTCTCAGAGTTCTTCAAAAGGTGAGGAGAAAAAGTGTTTGGTAGGAATTAGGCCTAAGGCCTCAGAGAAACTGACAGGAAAAGGCCTGAATGGACCCAAGGGATGGAAAGTGGAGCATGGGTTATTTCAGGGGTGGGGAGGCCTTGGGCCTGAACCTGTAGTAGGTTTCTAACATCCTCCACCACCCAGGAGGCAACCTATACTTTACTTAGTGACCCACACATTCATTTTATGTTTCATTAGGGGTGAACAGAGATGGGGGAGGGTGTTAAGTGACATGTTTCACCTAATAACAGCGATGACATACAACCATAATGGATGAGTGCCATAATGGATGAGTGCTATCTTGATGACTACCTTTAATTGAAATGGAATGGAGTATAATGGAGAGTGAAATAGTATAGTGTAGTGTAATGGGAGAACAGAACAGAAAAGAATGAATCTATATCAACGCCTATACTTTGCTATAAGGTTTTAATGATTTTATTTTTGTCTTGTGGCTCCTGGGTAACTCTTCTGGGGGTCCTGAATGTTTTGAAGGTGTTCACATATATGACTGTGTTATTATCATTAAGAAATTAGCCAGTTTGTCTCTTCCAAATCCTATGGGACTTCATGAAAATAGGAGGAACTGACACTGAAAGATGGTATCTATTCTCCCCATGATATTCCAAGGCATGGCTGGGAGCCCCAAGGCTCTGTGAGTTGATCTGATAGTATGTTGCACTCAATATTTGTGTCTGAAGAACATCTCAAGAAGGCAGGTCAGTCTGATCCACTTCAAATAACTTGTGGCAGACAGAGGCGTTTGCACACAGAAAGAAGACACTCATGGAAGATGTTAGTATTCATGGAGTTATTGTTGATAGTATTGCCTGAAGTGGTGTGTAAGGATCCTGGTCTTCAATGTGATTTTCATCAGCCTCTTCCTATTCAGCATACCTATCATCAGCTTGGAGACATTAATATTGCTGGTATTATTTCTGTCTTGTTTGCACCTTCTAATCCCATTAAATTTATTCAAGATCCTTCTCAGGAATTTCATGATGAATTTATGTAAGTGCATCATTAATTTATTGTCAAGCTCTGAGTCTTGCTGGTATATTACCTGATGTTTGAAATGTTTCCTCTAATGGCAAAAATTCCAGAAAGGAACATCTAAAATAGGATGTCTAGGTTTATTTTATGTGAAGTCTCCAGGTAATGTTGAAATGGAGATCAAATCTCCTATCTATTAATATACAGAAATGTGGCTTAATTTATGAAGCTGTTACTATCATTAAGAAAGGGGAAGCACATATTTCCCATGATCCGTTTTCTCATTTGATATTTCTGGTGCCAAAATGTAGCAATTTCCTTTTGCCTATAAGCCATTCTTAAAATCTGTTGTTTGATAGTGGGCCACTCTCATGTATAAGAACAAGAAATAAGAATTATTTCACACATTCCACAAAATGTGTTTTACTGAATGATTACAAGTGCTATAATGTGAAGCAGACCTTTCTTAATGTATTTTTTTTAAAAAAAATGTTTTACAGAATAGTTTTTCAGAATTACCAGCATATTCTGACTTTAGCCTTTACTATAAAAGAGATCAATGAAAATTCCCAAATCCTACCCAACATCACGCTTGGCTTCCACATTTTTAATAGCAATTTTAGTCCAAGCTGGACTTACTTCGCCTCAATGCTTCTGCCTTTCACTCAGGGAAAATTCATCCCTAACTACAAGTGTGGGGCCCCCAAAACCTTGGCTGCAGTCATTGGGGCACCTGACATCTCTCTTCACATGGCAACTGTGCTCTGCATCTACAAAATCCCTCAGGTAAGATGTGCTGAAGACATACACTATCATTCTGCTGTACCTCCCCAGATGTCTGTGTTTTTCTCTCTGTAAGAAGGAGAGCCCTTTCAGATAACTAGATATTATTTTTTGCTTAATAAGAGCAGAATAGCACCATGAGTAATTGTAACCGAATATATGGTGAGGATATTTGTTCCAACAAAACATTCCCCAATTCCAGACATTGAACTAAGGTTCAAATTTCAAATATTCACAAGGAGACCACTTTCAAAAAATGTATTTACTGATATCTCAAGAGTGACATCTTGGTTGATATTTCCTAATAAACACAACTAGTTGCATAATGTTTCTTATTTCTTATAAGAATAAGAATACCCAAAGACTCAAACAAATGTACATGTTTTCAGAGGCTCACATAGATCTTTGGAATCACATATGTTTATCTTTCTCTAGTTGACCTATGGGTCTGCCCCTGTCATGGATAAAGAGACTCAAGCAGTTTTCTTCCAACAAATGTTTCCGAATGAATCTCACCAACTCAAGGGTCTCCTACAGTTATTGTTGTATTTTAGATGGATCTGGATTGGAATTCTTGTAGGAGAGACATTTCTTGAGAAGATGCTCTTAACATTTTCCGAGCATGGCATCTGCATTGAATTCATAGAAGAGTTCCCAAATGTAGCTTTTTACAGTGATTTTAATGATGCCATTGATGAAGGATTACATATATACCATGTTCTCATGAACAGCACAACCAATGTGATAATCTTATATGGTGACATTCAGTCCTTATCAGTTCTGAGAACTTTCCTCCAGTTTTCAGAAGTGGAGGATATACCAAAGAAGAATAAGATCTGGCTTATAACAGCTCAGACTGATTACACTTCAACTGCCTTTCATGAATCTTGGGATATCCATTTCCTACATGGTGCTTTATCCTATGCAGTTCACACAAAAGAAGTCCAAAACTTCCAGGAATTTCTTCAAAATCTAAATCCAAGCAACAATCAGAATGATCATTTTCGGAAAGTTTTCTGGGAACAGGCATTCAGCTGTTTCTTCTCAAACTCAAAAGTGGAGGAATCTGAGAAAAAATGTACCGGACAGGAGAAGGTTGAAACTCTTCCCACATCTGTGTTTGAAACATGCATGAGTGGCCACAGTTACAATATTTACAATGCAGTCTATGCCGTGGCACATGCTTTGCAATCTCTGTCTCTCTCCAAATCTAGAGAAACAACAATGGTGAAAGAAAGAAGGAAACATTTTCACAATCAAGTGTGGTGGAAGGTAAGTTTGTAAGCAGAGTAGTGCAGAAACCACCATATTTGTAGCTGCAACCTGTGTCCATAAACTCTAGCCAACAATATTATCCAGGGATATTGCCCTCTGAAAACCCAGACATTAGATGTAAGAAAGGATTAACCAATTAAAATATGATTATTAATATTAAATATGCTGATATTAAAATTGTAAATAGCATTCTGCAAAATTTCTTAGAATACACTTCTCTCCATGGAATTAACTGTCTCTCAAGCCCAAAACCAAGAATGGCATATGGTAATTCTTCTAAGCTGATTTCTTTTTGTTTTACATCTATAGATAAAATCTTGCCAATCTGAGCACTCTGCTATCTTTATCTACAGATTATTAGGGAGGGGCTATCTTCCTCCTCTTTCTCTCAGACATAATATCCAACCTGAATTGTCTTTTACTTTTCTGAAATGCAATCCCTCCCTCCTGGGACTCCACTTTCTTATTACATTCCATCACTGTTCCATAAATTGTCTATTTAAATATATGGAAGGAGGTATTTTACTCCCTATACATGATACGCTGAAGCTTTTTCTTGTTATATATGCTTTATTTGAAATGATTGCATTTAATCAGACAAAGTTCATGGGTTATTGAAAGTACAATCATTCCCTTATCTTCCCACACAATTCATGTGTGGAAGAGGAAGGACTGATATATTGTGACTCTTACTCAAACAAGATTCAGCATGCTGAAACATTCCCTTTGTATGAGGCATAGGGTTTTGACCTCTTCATAGACCATTTAAGAGCCATCTGCATTTCTACACCTAATTGTTCGCAACAAAACATGCACAGTTTTAGAGCAAATGGATGCAGAAGAATGAAAGCAGCCTTATATGTTATTTTGAGCCTACTTTTTGTGAGACATATGTTCTCCCATGGGATGAAACAATCATAGATTTCAAATGATGGACAGTTAAGTCATCGAATTCAGCATTAATGTAGGATTTTAAATTTCAGTAACTCCTGCAGATATTGACTCTGCTTCTACTCTAATGCATCCAATAAAAGAAATGTCATTGCCCTTCGGTCCTCAATTGCCACTGCCTAACTTCTGTACTGAGACTTTATTTCTTAGGTAGAATATAGTTTCCTAACATTATTTCCTAAATTAATTTTAGATTTTACTTTATAAAAGTAAGTCTATCTTTCATTATATTGTAAATTTTACTGACAAGCCTTACTTAATGATTTAGCAACAACAGTTCTGGCAGACACTAGTTACCATTGTTAAGTGAGGACTGCATAGTTTTTTTAAGCATGGACTTCATGTGATCACAACTTCCAATTTTCTTCTAGCTTCCCCATTGACTTTGCTTGTGGAAGGCCAGCAAGATACTGTAGATTGAAAATCACAATCAAGTAACTGTGGGATGCCATGAAAGTCAGAAAACCAGGCCAGTTGCTGACTTCCAGGATTGTGATCATATGAGTACATTCATAAAGAAACATTCATATGTATGCTTTGAATATATGAATTATTTCTCTCTCCCTTTGTCCTTTTCTCTCTTTTTTCATCTTTGAATGTCTCTTTGTTTCAGGTTCATTTTTTTTTGATAAGTGTCAGATTCAATAATTGTGTTGGTGAAAAGATCTCCTTTGATAAAAATGGAGAATTCATTGGTGGATATGATATTATCAACTGGATCACATTCCCAAACCAGTCCTTTCTTAGAGTTAAAGTTGGAGTGATAGATCCTACAGCTTCAGCAGACAAGTTCTTCAATATTTCTGTCGATTCCATCACGTGGCCAGTAGGCTTTAATCAGGTTAGCTTTTAGAATCTAGATTAGACTGCCTTCATTTAGTGATAAAAGTCTCAGAGCACCATTTCTGACTACTCTGGGTACAAACATCCTGGGGAAGAAAATCATTATCTGTAAGAATGTTTACTTTTCTACTAGTTTGTACAGAATATTGTAATTTTTTACTTTGGCCCTCTGTTAATTCTGGGTAATAGTTTCCATGGTTTTTAAGTACAAGTTGCAATCCAATGTACTAGATTTCATCAGTTTAGTGACTTGAGTAGTTGAGAAAGCATCTTTAACTAGCCAGCACCAAAATTATCTTTGGAAAGTGGTGATGATGTTTATACAGGGCCATAGATGTCAATAATTGTAGATATTTCTGCTTATCAATCTATTTTTATTCTGTTGATTCTACATGACCAGTATCTCTCCAAGCACTTCTTTTCCCCTCTGTATCTTAAAATCTAACTCTTCACTCACTGATAGGCATTACCTTTATCTTTGTGTAATGATCCTTGTGAGACAGGATACAGCAAGGCCAAGAAAGAAGGGACGTCCTTTTGCTGCTATGATTGCCACCTATGTCCAGAAGGGAAAATATCAAAGGAGAAGGGTAGGAAATGTTCAAATATAATGGGACTAAGTCATGATGGCACAACACTCTAATTCCCTATATCAATTCACCTGCATTCTTTTTCAGATATACACGACTGCTCTCCATGTTCAGAAGATCAATATCCAAATTCTGACAAAAATATGTGCCTTCCAAAGCGGATCACCTTTTTGTCCTATGAAGAACGCTTGGGGATCAGTCTGACTGCTCTTTCTCTTTGCTTTTCTTTAATGACAACTTTGGTAATAACAATTTTTGTGAAACACAGAGACACTCCCCTTGTCAAAGCCAACAACCGGAATCTCACCTACACTCTCTTAGTTTCCCTCCTCCTCTCTTTCCTTTGTGTCTTTCTATTTCTTGGGAGACCCAACATGATTGTATGTCTCCTTCGACAACCAGCTTTTGGCCTCATCTTTTCTGTGGCAATTTCTTGTATATTGGCCAAAACCTTTGTTGTGGTTCTAGCATTCCTGGCCACCAAACCTGGTTCCAAATTAAGGAAATGGGTTGGGGGAAGAATGGTAAGTTTCATTCTTTTATCTTGCATTCTTGTTCAAATATGTTTTTGTGCTGCATGGTTGATAACATCCCCACCATACCCAGATTTTGATATGCAGTCAATGTCTGAAGAAATCATCATGGAGTGCAATGAGGAATCGGTTATGTTCTACTGTGTTTTGGGTTTTATGGGTTTTCTTGCTCTGCTTAGCTTCTCTGCTGCTTTTCTAGCTAGGAAATTACCTGACAGTTTCAATGAAGCCAAATTCATCACCTTCAGCATGTTGGTCTTCTGCAGTGTTTGGCTGTGTTTTATTCCAACCTATCTAAGCACAAAGGGAAAATATACATTGGCTATGGAGATCTTCTCCATGATCTCCTCCAGTGCTGGCTTATTAGTGTTTATCTTTTTCCCCAAGTGTTTTATCATAGTAATCAGACCCGAACTGAACAATAAACAACAACTCATGAAAAGAAAGTTTTAGGAAAGATACTCTTTGTATGTCCATGTTGGAGATCTTCCTCACTTGCCCTTTGAAGCCAGTGAGCAATGTACAGTTAGATTGGCATGCTGTGTTGCAAAGCCTACCTTGTCCCTGAGATTTGGGTAATTCAAAACTTTTTTTTTACTTCTGGAAAACAATTAAACATGAGAAGCATAAAACCATGTAAACAAAGAAACAAATAAATGACAACACAATATTATTTTTTGTGATATTTCAGTATGTGATAGACATCTCTGACTCAATATATAGATTAAATTTGAATTATAAATTTTTCTTTACTGGTCATCCAAGTTTATACGCACACTTGAACATGTAAAAGAAGTGGGGATTAAGTACAAATGAGACTTTCATTTAAACAAGATATGCCAATTATTTGTTTCTAAAGCAGTCAGATAGCCAACTCGCTGTGGGAGAAAAGTTACATAATATCAAAGAAATGGTGGAACATAATTATTAAAGAAAGAATGCAAAAAGAGGGACAAAATGAAATGTGAATGACAAAAAATAAAATATTTTAAAAATTATTTTAAATAATTAACAGAGAACGTGGAACCTGGTTATCTGAGGAACCATATCACTCCAAAGGAATTAGCTCATCCAAGCCATGGTGCCATAAGAGGCATACTGTGTGTGGTGGGTGGTTCAGGAGAAAAGCATTTTCTACCATGGTGCCCAACCCATTGACGCTTGTGTCCCCAAGATTAGATCAACAACCACCATTTTGGTCTTCTGAAATGGGTTGGATATCAGGCTGCCCCGATGGGAGGGCGGTATGTTGGAGATGGTTACCATGCTTTCCCAAAAGTAAGACCTACCTCAAAAATAAGCCCTAGCTTGATTTGGGAGGGGGAGGTAATATAAGCTTTACTCCAGAAATAAGCCCTAGTTTTGGGGTGAAGCACACACCTAAAAATCAAGCCCCACACCCACTTACCTTGCAGTCAGGCCTCTCCTCACCAACCCACTTCTTCTGTGGCATCCCCAGGCCTGCATTTTGCAGTCATAGGCCGTTCCGGAAGGCCATTGCAGCCAAGAACTGAGCTATGGATTAAGTCCATAGCTCAGTTCTCAGCTGCAATGGCTTTCTGGAAATGCCGCTGACTGCAAAATGAAGGCCAGAGCTCCATTCTCAGCTGCAGAATGAAGCTGCTCCTTTGGCTGCAGAAGAAGTGGGCTGGCTGGTGGGGCTGTCGATTGTGGAGATGTGTGGAAAAGACACCCCCCTGAAAATAAGACCTGGTGCCTCTTTTGGAGGCAAAAAAATAAAATAAAATAAGACTGGTTCTTATTTTCAGGGAAACATGGTAATAGATTAGACAGAACCTATTTACTCCACATGTGTACTTCACTCCCATCCTCTCCATTTTGATTATTGAATTTTAATTCAGTTAAAATTGAATTTTAATTGAATTTTAAATTTATGGTCTGCATTTAACGTTTTAATGCTTTGTATGATATTTGATTGAATGACTGTAAGCTACCTAGATTTCTATGTCGTGAGATGATCAGCGTAGAAGTTAAATAATTAATTCTTTGTTGGGCCTACAGTAGCAGAGATAAGATATAGTCCAGTGATGGCGAACCTTTTAGAGACTTAGTGCCCAAAAACTGGCCCCGCCCCTCCATCCCCTGCCCCACCTACCCGCAGGGCCACTCACCACCTCCAGGGCCCTCCGCAAATCGCCCAATATTCACCCTCTATTGGTATGACATATTGGCATCAAACACTTCATAAAGCACACAAACTGAGAAATTTGCATGTAAGCATACTTCCAGCAAGGAACACTTATTCTTCCTGCACAAATACCTATGACAGCGAGCTTTGCCCATCAGTGTCAGATACAAACCTCCAATAAAATGCACTAGTTTAGGAAATAGCCCAAGAAAGTGGCAGAAAATGAGGTGACTCATTACTGTAGATGTCCACCTCAGACTCAACTTATATTATCCACCCACTATCTGCTGCAAAACTCAATGTTTTATGAAAAGGCCTAATTTTCTTCTAACTTCCTTATTTCTGCTTAAAATTCGTAATTATTAATTTCTCCTATCCTCCTATTTTGCCTACATACCACAGACCAGAACTTGGGGTGGGTGCTTTCTGAGGGCTTTTTTGAGGACTGCTCTGTTCTCTGCTTTGGATTGGTTTTGTTCTCATCTTCTTCTGATGTGTGATATGATAGTTGGCCTGGTGCTTTCTGGGGTCTCTGCAAGAAATGTTGTAGTTATGATTGCTCTTTCTAAAGCTGCAAAGAACTCTTGTCGATTAGCATCATCACTGTTAGAGTTTAGTTAAAAGAAAACAGAGAAGCAGAGTTGCAAAGGGTGCTGCTACTGGAACCACAAGTTGCACAAAAAGAAAAAGAAAAAAAGGACAAAAAAAGGTGGTGTGCAGATGTTCCCAGAGAGGAATTGATCCTCCCACAAATGCTGAAATAAAATTGGTTGGCTAGAGTTTTCTCTTCTTATTCACTAATATTATACTCTCCAAGCAATGGACAAATTATGTTATAATGCCAAAAAAGGAGAACAAAACCAGTCCAGCTCCAAACCAGCTAACAACCGTCCTAGCTAGCTCCCAGTCTCAGTCTTCTAGGTCATGGTTGTTCTAAAGCTGCTTTTTCAAGAGGCAACAGGACTTTCTTTGTTTTTCATTGAAGATGTTTTGTTTCTCTTACAAGATGTTTCTTCAGTTTGAGTGGAGGGAAATGGAAAGATTTTTATTCCTCACAGTCATCTGGTTGTTAGCACTCTTTCTGAGAGTTATTGAGGCCACTTGGAGGTTTATCTGTGCCCTCAGGGTCAACTGAATAGTGCAAATGGGTGTGGAACCTTTTTGGAACTGCTGAAAGGACTATGTTGTAAACAGGAGATAGCTGATTTTGAATGACAAAGGCCACTCTTTTGAAGACAGCCAAGTCCACATTGTGGACAGAGAGAATTGCTGGTTTGAAAGAGGGGTCAAAGAGTCCATCTATATTAAAACTGTCAACAGAGGAAGAGGGATATGATACCACCTATCTCCTGTTTATAACATAGTCCTTTCAGCAATTCCAAACTCAAGGATAAAAGTGAACTCAAGGATAAAAGTGAAACTAAGTACTACAAAATCTGGGAACAATTTTATGATTGGATAGACAATAAGAGGATAGCCAAGACAAATGTATAGTGTTAGAATAAAATATAGATTATAGACAAATGTATATTTAAAAGATAAATAGATATACAGAAATAAGGGAAAAAGTGTTAATATTATATTATAAATAGTAAGCAAAGCTCAAGAACTATATGTCTATATGAGTACTAATACTACTGTAAAATGTTGGAAGATGTGTGGAACCAGTGATGCCATATCTATGTCCAATGTGTTTTTAATTTTTATTATTAATAAAAAAATATTAAAAAACACACAAAAAGGTTCCACACCTATTTGCACTATTCAGATAATCCGAGGGCACAGATAAACCTCCAAGTGGCCTCAACAATTCTCAGAAAGAGTGCTAATGACCAGATGATTGCAAGAAATAAAAATCCTTCCATTTCCTGCCACTCAAACTTGGATGAGAAACAAAATGTCTTCGAGGAAAAACAAATTGCATATTGAAAAAGCACCTTTAGGTGTCCTAGCAGCTGACTATTCATAATTAGCAAATGGAGCAAACCAGTCAATGCCAGGTTGTTCTATTGTGGATCAGTGCAACACTCTGCACCAGCTCTCTGCAAAGTACATTAACCTTCCTGAAGGTGTTCTGTGTGCTGTTTTCACAAATCTGAAAGTGGCATTTGATTGAAAGATTGTGGCAAAAACTGCTTCCTTCATTGACCACTGGCTCCTGCAACTATACCAGTTGGTAGTTCTCAAGTTACAGGTTCTTAGTAACAGTTCAAAGTTACATTGAACATCTTCAGGGCTACTTAAGTCCTGATAGCCAATCCATCCCTTCTGTGATTACATTGTGAATGCTCAGCAATTGACCCACATTTATGAGTGTTTGCAGCATCTCACAATCATGCAAGTGTCATTTATGATGGTTTCTTTGTCAGAGACCTACAGTTTCCAGCAAAAAATTCCCATTTCAGACAATGGATTTGCTTAATGACCACAACCTACCCTTAATGTCTACTGATGTCTAATGTCTAATAAAATTGAACACAGTCATTATATGACCTGAGTAATGACTGTCCTGAGTTATAACAGTGATTCTAAGCTTATTTACAGTTGTAGGTTCAGTACTTCCAGCACTTAGAACGTTCTATAAAGAGACTACAATATAGGCTCTATGGTTATTACTGGAGAACTGATTCCCTATTCCAGTTTCTAAAAGAATTAAACAAAACTGTATTCTGATTCTTATATTCTTTAATTTTTAAACTAACTCTATGGTATGAGTCCTTACCTCTGTTCTATTGCTAGTAAACCAATCTTCACTCTGCTATATGCTTACTACATTGTCCTTAGTTGATTTCCCAATGCAATCTTCATAAATTATCATTCTACAGCATCATATGTCAATCTTGAATAGTAGAATTCAACCACAGGACAACCAAGTATTGCAATAAACATCCCAATTTCTGGAAGAATATATGAAAATAATGGTAACGTAATGGATAGTAGAGAATAGAAAGTAATTTTATTTAGTGCAATGGAAGAATGGAATGTAATTTAATGGAGTAGAACATACAATAGAATAAAACAAGAATAGAATAGAATAGAATAGAATAGAATAGAATAGAATAGAATAGAATAGAATAGAATGGAATGGAACGGAACGGAACGAAACGGAACGGAACGGAACGGAACGGAACGGAACAGAATAGAATAGAATAGAATAGAATAGAATGGAATGGAATGGAATGGAATGGAATGGAATAGAAGAGAAGAGAAGAGAAGAGAAGAGAAGAGATCTATAATAATGCCTTTATGCATACATATATTTACATCTCTATTTTGATTTATTGATAAAATGATTTTATTTTTGTCTTATTGCTCATGCATCGCTGCCTCAGGAGGCCCTCACATGTTTTGAAGATGTTCACATATGTGACTGTCTTATTATCATGAAGAAATTAAATAGTTTGTCTCCTCCAAATCCTATGGGACTCCATGAAAACAGGAGGAAGGGACACTGAATTATGGTATTTATTGTCCCTATGATATTCCAACCCATGGCTGGGGGCCCCAAGGCTCTATGAGTTGATCTGATAGTATGTTGCACTCGATATTTGTGTCTGAAGAGCATCTCAAGAAGGCAGGTCAGTCTGATCCACTTCAAATAACTTGTGGCAGACAGAGGCGTTTGCACCCAGAAAGAAGACACTTATGGAAGATGTTAGTATTCATGGAGTTACTGTTGATAGTATTGCCTGAAGTGGTGTGCAAGGATCCTAGCGTTCAATGTGACTTTCATCAGCCTCTTCCTATTCAGCATACTTATCATCAGTTTGGAGACATTAATATTGCTGGCATTGTTTCTGCCTACTTTGCATCTTCTAATCCCATTAAATTTATTGAAGATCCTTCTCAGGGATTTCATGATGGACTTATGTAAGTAAATCATTAATTTATTGTCAAGCTCTGAGTCTTTCTGGTATATTACCTGATGCTTGAAATGTTTCCTCTAATGGCAAAAAGTCCAGAAAGAAGCATCCAAAATAGGATGTCTAGGTTTATTTTACGTGAAGTTATATTTTACTTTAGTCTCCAGGTAATTTTGAAATGGAGATCAAATCTCCATTTATAACACATCACATCTAAATATCTATTAATATACAGGAATTTAGCTTAATTATGAAGCTGTTACTATCATTAAGAAAGGGGAAGCATATCTATTAATATACAGGAATTTAGCTTAATTATGAAGCTGTTACTATCATTAAGAAAGGGGAAGCATATATGATCAGTTTTGTCATTTGATATTTCTGGTGCCAAAATGTAGCCATTTCCTTCTGCCTATAAGCCATTCTTAAAATCTGTTGTTTGATAGTGGGCCATTCTTACGTATAAGAACAAAGAAATAAGAATTATTTCACACATTCCACAAAATGTATTGTACTGAATGATTACAAGTGCTATAATGTGTAGCAGACCTTTCTTAATGGTTTTTTTAATTGTTTTACAGAATAGTTTTTCAGAATTACCAGCATGTTCTGACTTTAGCATTTACTATAAAACAGATTAATGAAAATCCTCAGATCCTACCCAACATCACGTTGGGCTTCCACATTTTTAACAGCAATTTTAGTCCAAGCTGGACTTACTTCGCCTCAATGCTTCTGCCTTTCACTCAGGGAAAATTCATCCCTAACTACAAGTGTGGGGTCCCAAATACCTTGGCTGCAGTCATTGGGGCACCTGACATCTCTCTTCACATGGCAACTGTGCTCTGCATCTACAAAATTCCTCAGGTAAGATTTGCTGAAGACCTACAAAATCATTCTGTCATTCCCTCACAGGTATCTACTGTATATGCTTCTCTCTGTGAAAAAGAGAACCTTTTCTGATGCCTACATATTATTTTTTGTTTGATAGGATCAGTAGAGCTGCCTGAGTAATGAGTAAGTTTGAATAGGCAGTGGGGATATGTGACATAGCAAAACATTTTCCAATTCTAGAAATTGATCCAAGGTTCAAATGTGATATATATCACAATGAGACTACTTCGATGAAAAGATATTTACTGATATCTCAAGAGTGACATCTTGTTGATATTCCTAAGAATCCTTTCAGATTCCTAGATACTATTTTTCCTTGATAAGATTAGCATAAGTAATCATAATTCTGAACAGATGGTGGGGCTATTTGACACAGCAAAATATATCCAAATTCCAGACACTGAACTAAGATTCAAATATTCAAAATGAGACTACTTCGACAAAAATGTATTTACTGATACCTCAAGAGTGACATCTTGGTTGATATTTCCTAATAAACATAACCAGTTGCATAATGTTTCACAATATAACATCAAAGATACCCAAAAATGCAAATGATTTTTTAGGCTCACATAGACCTTTGCAACTGCATATGTTTATCTTTCTGTAGTTGATATATGGCTCTGCTCCAGTCATGGATAAAGAGACTCAAGCAATTTTCTTCCAACAAATGTTTCCGAATGAATCCCACCAACATAATGGCCTCCTGCAGTTATTGCTGTATTTTAGATGGATCTGGATTGGAATTCTTGTAGTAAAGGATGAGAAAGGAGAGAAATTTGTCCAGGAGGTTCTTCCCACATTTTCTGAGCATGGTATCTGCACTGAGTTCATAGTAGAGTTCCCAAATGTAGCTTTTCACAGCGATTTTACTGATACCATAGATGAAGGGCTACATATCTACCACGTCCTCATGAACAGCACTGCTAATGTGGTAATTTTATATGGTGAAATTCAGTCCTTAGCAGCTCTGAGAAGCTTCCTCCAGTTTTCAGAAGTGGAGGATATACCAAAGAAGAATAAGATCTGGCTTATAACTGCTCAGACAGATTACACCTCAGTTGCCGTTCATAAATTTTGGGATATCCATTTTCTACATGGTGCTTTATCCTTTGTAGTTCATACCAAGGAGATCCAAGACTTCCAGGAATTTCTTCAAAACCTGAATCCAAACAGCAACAACCAGCACGATCATTTTCGGAAAGATTTTTGGGAACAGGCATTTGACTGTTTCTTTGCAAACTCAAAAACTGAGATCTCTGGGAAGAAATGTACTGGACAGGAGAGGCTTGAGGCCCTTCCCACATCTGTGTTTGAAACACTAATGAGTGGCCAGAGTTACAATATTTACAATGCAGTCTATGCTGTGGCACATGCTTTGCAATCTCTGTATTCATCCAAATCCAGGGAAAAAACATTTGTTAAAGAAGGGAGGAAACAGTTTCATAATCAAGCATGGTGGCAGGTAAGTCTGTAAGCAGAGTAGTACAGAAACCACCATATCTGCAATTGCAAGATCTGTCCATAGACTCTAGTGAATAATAATTTTTGAGGGATTGACATTAGGTTTAAATGTGAGATACAGTAATTTATTAAACAATTGAAATATTTATATGCTGATGTTAAAATTGTAAATAGCATCCTACAAAATTGTAACCACATCTCTTAGAAGAGTGGTGGCAAACCTATGGCACGGATGCCAGAGGCCGCACTCTGAGCCCTCTCTGTGGGCAGACGTGCCATTGCCCTAACCTTGCCTCCCCCCCATGACACCCTCCTCATCAGCAGTCCCCCTGGAGGAGAGTCACCCCTGAGTGTGGCCCACGCGGAGCAGCGCTGCCAAGGACATGGAAGCCAGGCAGTGTAGACAAGACTCTGCGCTCATGCCCCATCGCGGACAGTTGATGCTGTGGGGTGTGGGTAGAGGGCATGGCCACCATGTGCTGCTGGGCTGCCTGGGCAATCTGCGGTGGGCCCTGGAGGCAGTGTGTTGCCCTTTGGGCAGGGAGGTGGTGGCAGAGTGGGGGTGGGGCAGGGGGTGGAGTGTGGGCGGGGCCAGTTTTTGGGCACTCGGTCTCTAAAATGTTCGCCATCACTGTCTTAGAATGTACTACTGTCCATGAAATTAATTGCCTGCAAAATTTAGAATGGGATATGATGATTCTTCCAAGCTGATTTCTTTCTTGTTTCATACCTATAGACAAAATCTTGCCAGACTGAGCACTTTAATATATGCATCCACAGTATAATCTGTGAACTATTCAGGAAGGAGTGTTTTCATCCTCTTTCTCTCACACATAATATTCAAACTAAGTTGTCTTTTACTTGTCTGAAATATATCGCCTCCCTCCAGAGATTTCACCTCCTTATTATATTCCATATCTCTGCCATACATTCAGTCTATTAATACATAGAATGATGTGCTCTATTCCATTCACATGATATGCAGTTGTTGCTTTTTCTTCTAGATCAGGGATGTCAAACTTGCCATGTCACATGATGTGTCACAATGTATCACAACTTGTTTCCCATTGTCGAAGTTGGGTGGGCGTGGCTTCCACGTGATACAACCAGCCCGCAGGCTGGCAGCTTTACACCCCTGTTCTAGATGATTTCTTTGGAATAGTTGCTTTTAATCACACACAATTCTGTGACTGTGTAGGTTTGCCATAGCTTTCCTCCCAAGGAGAAAGCCTCTCTTAATTTCATGGCTGAAGCCACTATCTGCAGTGATTTTGTAGCCCAAGAAAATAAATCTGTCACTGCTTCCATTTCTTCTCCTTCTGTTTCTGCTCCTTCTGTTGATGGGACCAGATGCCATGATCTTAGTTTTTTCATGTTGAGTTTCAAGCTAACTTTTGCACACTCCCGTTTTATCTTCATCAAGAGGGTCTTTATTTCCTCTTCACTTTCTGCCATTAAAGTAATATTGTCTGCTTATTTGAGGTTGTTAATATTTTTCCTGCATATCTTAATTCCAGATTGTGATTTATCCAGCCTGGAGTTTTTCATAATTTACTCTGCATATAATTTAAATGAGCAGGGTGAAATATACAGCCTTGTAGTACTCCTTTCCCTATTTTGAACCAATCATTTGTTCCATGTCCACTTATAACTGTTGCTTATTGAACCTGCATAGAGGTTTCTCAGTTGGTCTGATACTCCCAGCTCTTTCAAGAACTTGCCACAGTTTGTTGTGATCCACACAATCAAAGGCTTTAGCACAGTCAATGAAACAGAAGTAAATGTTTTTCTGGAACTAACTTGCTTTCTCATAATCCAGCAATTGTTGGCAATTTGTTCACTATTTCCTCTGCCTTTTCAAAAAATAATTTGTGCTTCTTGTGGTTCTTGGTTCACATACCGCTGAAGCCTAGCTTGTAGGATTTTGAGTATAACCTTGCTATTGTGTGAAATGAGCACAATGATATGGTAGTTTTAAACTTCTTAGTATTTATTATATATTTATTACAAGTCTTCTGGCTTAAGTAGCGTTCAAAATTAAACTACAAAGGTTTTTTTTTTGCAATTCTATGTTAATTTTATTTCAGTAAGCTGATATGTTATCTCTTCCTTTGTGTTAGAATGATTGTTATGTCATTTGTTTTATACTGGTCTACAACTAAATTTTAAAAAATGTTTATATTTTCTTTGTTTAAAGAAATATTCATATGAATGTTTTGAATATATGAATTATGTCTCCCTCCCTCAGTCCTGTTCTCTCTTTTTTTCTTTCTGAGTATCAATATATTTTAGGTTCATTCTTTTCTGAGAAGTGTCAGATTCAACAACAGTGTTGGTGAAAAGATCTCCTTTGACAAAAATGGAGAATTCATTGGTGGATTTGATATTATCAACTGGATCACATTCCCAAACCAATCCTTTGTGAGGGTCAAAGTTGGAATAATAGATCTCACAGCTCCAGCAGACAAGTTCTTCAATATTTCTGTGGATTCCACCACGTGGCCAGTAGGCTTTAATCAGGTTAGCTTTTTGACTCTAGATTGGTCTGCCTTCATTTAAATATCCTTAATGATTAAAGTCTCAAAGCATCATTTCTGACTAATCTACAGTAGGTACAAATGGCAGGGAAAAAAAAATATATCAGTAAGAATTGCTATTGAACTTTGTACCCTTTATTTTGGTGCCCTTTTAGTTATGGACAGTGGTTTTCATGGTTTTGATGTAAAAACTGGCTTCAAAATTCAGAAGTTGAGAAAACCAACTTTAACTACTCAGCACAGAAATTGTCTTTGGACAGTGGGGATAGAAGGCCATAAATACCAATAATTGTAGATATTTAATTCATTATTATTTCAGACCAATTACATCAAAAATATGTTATCACACTACTTTATTTTTAATCTATTGATTGCACACTAACAGTATCACTCCAAGAACTTCCTTTCCTCTCTGAATCTTAAAATATTCTTCTTCATTCATTGATAGGCATTACCTCTATCTTTGTGTAATGATCCTTGTAAGACAGTATATTCTATACTAATAATTGGTATAGAATATTGTACCCTTCATTTTGGCCCTGTATTAATTATGGACAATGGTTCTCACGGTTTTAAGTAAAAGCTGAAGTCCAGTGTACTACATATCCTCAGTCTGGGGAATTCAAATTCAGAAGCTAAGAAAACCATCTTTAACTAACCAGCATAGAAATTGTTTTTGGAGAGTGGGGATTATGTTTATGAAAGGCCATGGATGCCAATAAAGATAGATAATTAATGAATTATTATTTCAGAATAATTACATCTCAAAAAGATACCATCATACTATTTCTGCTTATTAATCAAATTTCATGCTGTTTGTTCCACAGTAACAATATCGCTCTAAGCACTTCCTTTTTCCTCTATATACTAAAATATTCTTTTTCATTAATTAATAGGCATTACCTTTATCTCTCTGTAATGATCCTTGTGAGAGAGGATACAGCAAGGCAAAGAAAGAAGGAGAGTCATTTTGCTGCTATGATTGCCATCTGTGTCCAGAAGGGAAAATTTCAAAGGAGAAGGGTAGGAAATCTCCAAATATAATGGGACTAAGCCATTAGAATATAACACTATCTGTAATCAACAATATCAATTCCACTGTGTTCTTTTTTAGACATTGATGACTGCTATCCATGTGCAGAATATCACTATCCAAATCCTGATAAAAATATGTGCATTCCAAAGCGGATCACCTTTTTGTCCTATGAAGAACCCTTGGGGATCAGTCTGACTTCTCTTTCTCTTTGCTTTGCTTTAATGACAATTTTGGTAATAAAAATTTTCATGAAACATAAAGACACTCCTATCGTCAAAGCCAACAATAGGAATCTCACTTACACTCTCTTAGTTTCCCTCCTCCTCTCTTTCCTTTGCGTCTTTCTATTTATTGGGAGACCCAACACGATTGTGTGTCTCCTTCGACAACCAGCTTTTGGCCTCATCTTTTCTGTGGCAGTTTCTTGTGTATTGGCCAAAACCTTTGTTGTGGTTCTAGCATTCATGGCTACCAAACCTGGTTCCAAATTAAGGAAATGGGTTGGGGGAAGAATGGTCAGTTTCATTCTTTTATCTTGCATTCTTGTTCAAATATGTTTTTGTGTTGCATGGCTGATAACCTCTCCACCATACCCAGATACTGATATGCAATCAATGTCTGAAGAAGTCATCTTGGAGTGCAATGAGGAATCGCTTATGTTCTACTGTGTTTTGGGCTTTATGGGTTTTCTTGCTCTGGTTAGCTTCTCTGCTGCTTTTCTAGCTAGGAAGTTGCCTGACAGTTTCAACGAAGCCAAATTCATCACCTTCAGCATGTTGGTGTTCTGCAGTGTTTGGCTGTGCTTTATTCCAACCTATCTAAGCACAAGGGGAAAATATATGTTGGCTGTGGAGATCTTCTCCATGATCTCCTCCAGTGCTGGCTTATTGGTGTGTATCTTTCTTCCCAAGTCTTTTATCATTGTGATGAGACCTGAACTTAACAATAAACATCATCTCATGAAGAGAAAGCTTTAAGAAATATTTCTTTATTTGTCCATGTTCAGATCTCCCCCCCCCTTGCGTATTTAAGCCACAGAGCAATCTGCCATTAGATCAGCCTTCTATGTTGCAATTTCTACCCTTCCCCCAAGATTTGGGTAGGTCGTATCTTTTTTCCTTCTGGAAGGGAATTTAAAATGTGTACCATAAAACATATAAATAAATAAAAACAGAAATTGATGTGTTGAGATATTTTAGTATGTGATAGACATCTCTGACTCAATATATAGAATTATGCGAAGTATGAAATTATTTTTACTGGTCATCGTAGTTCACATGCACACTAAAAGTAAAGGTTTCCCTATCCAGTTGTGCCTGAATCTAGGGTATGGTCCTTATCTTTGTTTCTTAGCTGAAGGAGCCAGCATTGTCCAAAGACTTTTTCTGTGGTCCTGTGACCAGCATGGCTATATAGCAAAGGAGCATAGAAAGCTGTTACCTTCCCACTAAAGTGGAACCTATTTATCTACTTGCATGTGCATGCTTTCAAACTGTTAGGTGGGCAAGAGCTGGGGCAAGGAATGAGAGCTCACCCTATTGTGCGGCACTTGGGTCTCAAATCTGGGCTGTCAGCTTTCTATGCGAGTCTTAAACAGTAGAATTCAACCACATGACAACCAAGTATTGCAATAAACACCCCTGTTTCTGGAAGAATAATGAAAATATAGGCAATCCTCGAAATATCAAAGGCCATTTAATGAACATTTGAAATTACAACAGACCCCCCCAAAAAAGCTACATATGGCTCCTTTTCAAAATTACGATGACTGCAGAGTGCCTGTAATAATAATAATAATAATAATAATAATAATAATAATAATAATAATAATAATAATAATAATAATAATAATAATAATAATAATAATAATAATAAAAGTTGGAAGGGACCTTGGAGGTCATCGAGTCCAACCCCCTGCTCAGGCAGGAACCCTACACTATTTCAGACAAATGGCTGTCCAGTCTCTTCTTAAAATCTTCCAGTGTTGGAATATTCACTGCTTTTGGAGGCAGGTTGTTCCATTGGTTAATTGGTCTAACTGTCAGGAAGTTTCTCCTTAGTTCTAGGTTGCTTCTTTCCTTGATCAGTTTCCATCCGTTGCTTCTCGTCTTGCCTTCAGGCACCTTGGAGAATAGCTTGACTCCCTCTTCTTTGTGGCAGCCCCTGAGATATTGGAACACTACTATCATGTCCCCCCTCGTCCTTCTGTTCGTTAAACTAGACATACCCAATTCCAGCATCCGTTCCTTATATGTTTTAGCCTCCAGTCCCCTAATCATCTTTGTTGCTCTTCTCTGTACTCTTTCTAGAGTCTCAGCATCTTTTTTACATCATGGGGACCAAAAGTGGATGCAGTATTCCAAGTGTGGCCTTACTAAGGCACTGTAAAGAGGTATTAATACTTCATGTGATCTTGATTCTATCCCTCTGTTTTTTTTTTGTTTTTTTTTTTTCAATATAAAATTTTATTGTTTTTATCATAAAAAAAAAAGAAATACATCACAGATATTACACAATGTTATAACCCATCCCCCCACCCCCCGGACTTCCCAAACCAACCTAGGCTAATATTCAAATACAAGTAAACAAATATTAATATCTCTAACTCCAAAGTCTAAACTTAAACAATCCATCTCC